GTAGTGTTCAAGTTACTATAGTGGTGTAGTAGTGTAGTGTTCATGTTACTATAGTGGTGTAGTGTGTAGTAGTGTAGTGTTCAAGTTACTATAGTGGTGTAGTGTGTAGTAGTGTAGTGTTCAAGTTACTGTAGTGGTGTAGTGTGTAGTAGTGTAGTGTTCAAGTTACTGTAGTGGTGTAGTAGTGTAGTGTTCAAGTTACTATAGTGGTGTAGTGTGTAGTAGTGTAGTGTTCAAGTTACTATAGTGGTGCATTGTGTAGTAGTGTAGTATTCAAGTTACTGTAGTGGTGTAGTGTGTAGTAGTGTAGTGTTCAAGTTACTATAGTGGTGTAGTGTGTAGTAGTGTAGTGTTCAAGTTACTATAGTGGTGCATTGTGTAGTAGTGTAGTGTTCAAGTTACTATAGTGGTGTAGTGTGTAGTAGTGTAGTGTTCAAGTTACTATAGTGGTGTAGTGTGTAGTAGTGTAGTGTTCAAGTTACTATAGTGGTGCAGTGTGTAGTAGTGTAGTGTTCAAGTTACTATAGTGGTGTAGTGTGTAGTAGTGTAGTGTTCATGTTACTATAGTGGTGTAGTAGTGTAGTGTTCAAGTTACTATAGTGGTGTAGTGTGTAGTAGTGTAGTGTTCATGTTACTAAGGTGGTGTAGTAGTGTAGTGTTCAAGTTACTATAGTGGTGTAGTGTGTAGTAGTGTAGTGTTCAAGTTACTATAGTGGTGTAGTGTGTAGTAGTGTAGTGTTCAAGTTACTATAGTGGTGCATTGTGTAGTAGTGTAGTGTTCAAGTTACTATAGTGGTGCATTGTATAGTAGTGTAGTGTTCAAGTTACTATAGTGGTGCATTGTGTAGTAGTGTAGTGTTCAAGTTACTATAGTGGTGTAGTAGTGTAGTGTTCATGTTACTATAGTGGTGTAGTGTGTAGTAGTGTAGTGTTCAAGTTACTATAGTGGTGTAGTGTGTAGTAGTGTAGTGTTCAAGTTACTGTAGTGGTGTAGTGTGTAGTAGTGTAGTGTTCAAGTTACTGTAGTGGTGTAGTAGTGTAGTGTTCAAGTTACTATAGTGGTGTAGTGTGTAGTAGTGTAGTGTTCAAGTTACTATAGTGGTGTAGTGTGTAGTAGTGTAGTGTTCAAGTTACTATAGTGGTGCATTGTGTAGTAGTGTAGTGTTCAAGTTACTATAGTGGTGTAGTGTGTAGTAGTGTAGTGTTCAAGTTACTATAGTGGTGTAGTGTGTAGTAGTGTAGTGTTCAAGTTACTATAGTGGTGCAGTGTGTAGTAGTGTAGTGTTCAAGTTACTATAGTGGTGTAGTGTGTAGTAGTGTAGTGTTCAAGTTACTATAGTGGTGTAGTGTGTAGTAGTGTAGTGTTCAAGTTACTATAGTGGTGCAGTGCGTAGTAGTGTAGTGTTCAAGTTACTATAGTGGTGTAGTGTGTAGTAGTGTAGTGTTCAAGTTACTATAGTGGTGTAGTGTGTAGTAGTGTAGTGTTCAAGTTACTATAGTGGTGTAGTGTGTAGTAGTGTAGTGTTCAAGTTACTATAGTGGTGCATTGTGTAGTAGTGTAGTGTTCAAGTTACTGTAGTGGTGTAGTGTGTAGTAGTGTAGTGTTCAAGTTACTATAGTGGTGTAGTGTGTAGTAGTGTAGTGTTCAAGTTACTATAGTGGTGCATTGTGTAGTAGTGTAGTGTTCAAGTTACTGTAGTGGTGTAGTGTGTAGTAGTGTAGTGTTCAAGTTACTATAGTGGTGTAGTGTGTAGTAGTGTAGTGTTCAAGTTACTATAGTGGTGCATTGTGTAGTAGTGTAGTGTTCAAGTTACTATAGTGGTGTAGTGTGTAGTAGTGTAGTGTTCAAGTTACTATAGTGGTGTGTGTAGTAGTGTAGTGTTCAAGTTACTATAGTGGTGTAGTGTGTAGTAGTGTAGTGTTCAAGTTGCTATAGTGGTGCAGTGTGTAGTAGTGTAGTGTTCAAGTTACTATAGTGGTGTAGTGTGTAGTAGTGTAGTGTTCAAGTTACTATAGTGGTGTAGTGTGTAGTAGTGTAGTGTTCAAGTTACTATAGTGGTGTAGTGTGTAGTAGTGTAGTGTTCAAGTTACTATAGTGGTGTAGTGTGTAGTAGTGTAGTGTTCAAGTTACTATAGTGGTGTAGTGTGTAGTAGTGTAGTGTTCATGTTACTATAGTGGTGTAGTGTGTAGTAGTGTAGTGATCATGTTACTAAGGTGGTGTAGTGTGTAGTAGTGTAGTGTTCAAGTTACTATAGTGGTGCATTGTGTAGTAGTGTAGTTTTCAAGTTACTATAGTGGTGTAGTGTGTAGTAGTGTATTGTTCAAGTTACTATAGTGGTGTAGTGTGTAGTAGTGTAGTGTTCAAGTTGCTATAGTGGTGTAGTGTGTAGTAGTGTAGTGTTCATGTTACTATAGTGGTGTAGTGTGTAGTAGTGTAGTGTTCATGTTACTATAGTGGTGTAGTGTGTAGTAGTGTAGTGTTCATGTTACTAAGGTGGTGTAGTAGTGTAGTGTTCATGTCACTATAGTGGTGTAGTGTGTAGTAGTGTTCAAGTTACTATAGTGGTGTAGTGTGTAGTAGTGTTCATGTTACTATAGTGGTGCATTGTGTAGTAGTGTAGTGTTCAAGTTACTATAGTGGTGTAGTGTGTAGTAGTGTAGTGTTCATGTTACTATAGTGGTGTAGTGTGTAGTAGTGTAGTGTTCAAGTTACTGTAGTGGTGTAGTGTGTAGTAGTGTAGTGTTCAAGTTACTATAGTGGTGTAGTGTGTAGTGTAGTGTTCATGTTACTATAGTGGTGTAGTGTGTAGTAGTGTAGTGTTCATGTTACTAAGGTGGTGTAGTGTGTAGTAGTGTAGTGTTCAAGTTACTATAGTGGTGTAGTGTGTAGTAGTGTAGTGTTCAAGTTACTATAGTGGTGTAGTGTGTAGTAGTGTAGTGTTCAAGTTACTATAGTGGTGTAGTAGTGTAGTGTTCATGTTACTATAGTGGTGTAGTGTGTAGTAGTGTAGTGTTCAAGTTACTATAGTGGTGTAGTGTGTAGTAGTGTAGTGTTCAAGTTACTATAGTGGTGTAGTGTGTAGTAGTGTAGTGTTCAAGTTGCTATAGTGGTGTAGTGTGTAGTAGTGTAGTGTTCAAGTTGCTATAGTGGTGTAGTGTGTAGTAGTGTAGTGTTCATGTTACTAAGGTGGTGTAGTAGTGTAGTGTTCATGTCACTATAGTGGTGTAGTGTGTAGTAGTGTAGTGTTCAAGTTACTATAGTGGTGCATTGTGTAGTAGTGTAGTGTTCAAGTTACTATAGTGGTGCATTGTGTAGTAGTGTAGTGTTCATGTTACTATAGTGGTGTAGTGTGTAGTAGTGTAGTGTTCAAGTTACTATAGTGGTGTAGTGTGTAGTAGTGTAGTGTTCATGTTACTATAGTGGTGTAGTAGTGTAGTGTTCAAGTTACTAAGGTGGTGTAGTGTGTAGTAGTATAGTAGCGTCGTGTGTAGTAGTGGAGTAGACATTAGTGGAGTGTGTAGTGTATTGTACACTACTATACACTATACACGACTATACACTACACTATACAATACTATACACTGCACTATACACTACTATATACTCAACTATACACTACACTATACACTACACTATACACTACTAAACTACACACTACACTAGACACTACTACACTATACACTACACTATACACTACACACTACACTCTACACTATACACTACTATACACTTCACTATACACTACACTATACACTACACTATACACTACACTAAACACTACACTAGACACTACTACACTACACTATACACTACTACACTAGACACTACTACACTACACTATACACTACACTATACACTACACTCTCCACTATACACTACACTATACACTACACTAGACACTACTACACTACACTATACACTTTACACTACACAAACCTGAAGTGCCGTGCCCACAGGTGAGGTCGCTTCGAAGGCTCCGAGGGAGGCGCCAGGAGGAGATCCTCCCGGCCGTGAGATGTCGCGGGGACACCCTGGCGGTGAGTCATCCTCTAGGTGCACCTAGCCTGGCACTAGCGGCCGTGGTGGTGGTGGTGGTGGTGGCGGTGATGTCACTTGGTGTTGCCGGATCCGCCCTGTCCCCTCTCCTCCCGTCTTGAATCCTTGCAAGGTGGGGGGTGGGGGGGTCGGGACAGCAACAGCAGCAGCAACAATACTAGAAAAACAATTAATTGCGTGCGTTGATTACCCCATGAATAACCCAACCGGTAACGGGCATCCATTGCGAAGTTTACGACGTCATTAACCCACCCGCCTCTGTTCTCCGCACCTGATTGGCTCACAAGTGTCACCTGGTGATGCTGTTATTTGTTGTAACAAATAACAGCATCACCGACACGTCACGGCTACTCGAATAGCCAACGTGGTCGCGGGTTTGCTCTCCAAACACACGGCAAAGCGGTGAGTGCTGTACCAGTAGCTAATTGGCACCACGATTTGTTTCCGTGACAGACTCCTCTACTTAGTTTGGCCGTGTTGGGTGGCGGCGGTGGTGGTGGTGGCGGTGGCGGGTTTCACGACGTTTGGGCCACGTCCTAGCAAAATATCCAGGAATTGGGATGAGTCCGTTAGCCACCTCCACTTCCATCTCTCCCACTCCTCACCGTTTCCGCTCCGTTTCCCCGCCCCCTTGCACCGGGACAAACTTCCCCCTCTACGTGAAGCCAGAAGCACCACTCCCCGTCTAATCTCCGCTCCTCGCTCAAGACTCGCATCTCTTCTCCCTAGCCACATCCTTCCGTCCATCCCTTTGTAAACCCCCGTAATTCCCGTTCCCACTAAGCACCCTCCCTATACCCCATCCCTATTTCATCGCATCACTTAAATTTACCCAATTGTACCACTCATAACCCTTGTAGGGCACCTTCGATGAAAGCGCTATGCAAATATAAGATAAGATCGTGAACTGGGTGGCCGGGTTTTAGCGAGTCGAGATGATTTAGAAACTCACCAAGTGCATCTTGACCGTGCGGCCAGACCACCAATGTGTCATCATCATTTCAAAAGCAGGTAGATGGCGTTAGTGTTCTTGAAGCGAGTGCTCAAAGTTTTATAATAACAGGGTGTCTGTGTCCGCCTCATAGGGGGGTCATAACGGCCGTGTCAGCGACACCGACCCACTTCTCTAGACGCCATGGGTTCGACGCCTGTGCCAGGGTGTCTCTCTCTGTCTCCGTCTCATGGCCATGATAATAACAATAATTCAAATGTACAATGCACCGTTCCATCCGAGGATCCCGCAATGTGCAATGCATGAAAAACCAGAAACGGAAACAGAACCCAGGAGGCAACCGACCAAAAAATAAAGAGGGAAGGGAACTGCAGTAAATCCTTGGATTGCGAGTAACTTGGTCTGCGAGTGTTTAGCAAGACGAGCTAAAATTGTAAGTAAATATTAATTTGATAAACGAGTAACTTGGTCTGCGAGTGTTTAGCAAGACGAGCTAAAATTGTAAGTAAATATTAATTTGATAAACGAGCGAGGGTCTTAGCAATACGAGTAGTATACGTGTAGTACGCTTTGTACTGCCGAGCGTCACGTGATTACAACTGATGTACGAGTGCTTTGATGTGCGAGTGCTTTGGATTACAAACGCATTTCCGGAACGAATTATGCTGCGCAATCCAAGGTTTTGCTGTATAAAGAAATGGGGTTTTCACAGCAGACTTAAATATATCGACGGACTCCTACCGCCTGATTTCAAGTGGCAAGGCGGCGTTCGATAGGTTGGATGCCACGCTAACAAAACCACTGATCCTGCAAGTAATGTGGGGTGAGCCCCCTTTTAAAGCCTTTATAGGTCAATAGCGGTCCCTTAAAATCCATTCGAAATTTGACCGGTAGCCAAGGAAAGAGATGAGAGGACTGGTTCGCAATAGCGGGAGGCAAAAGGAGAGCCCGTTGCTGCTCCTTCCTTTTGTTTAGAGGCATCACCACTCCATCAGAAAGAGGCGTTCTGTAGACAACGCTCAGCTAATTGTGGAACATCTTTGGGTGAAGCCGGTGCTAGTTACCAGAGTTATCGAGTCATTTCATCGACCAGTAAACCGTCAAACCCTCGCGAACAGAGAAATTGCATCAAAGCTTACCAGAATATCGCGGGGGTTACGTTTAATATACCAAATATTTTTTTCAGTGAGGAAAAAGGCCTGAAGAGAATTGAGATCGAATAAAAGTATCCAAATTCTGGATGCCGATGAAGGCCCGTGAGCTGTCGTGATGTCCCGTGCTGATTACTGTTGCCGGGAATGAACAGGAGGCGTTAAGATGTTCGAACACCACACGTACTTGTGGCAAAACGTGCCTGCAAACGCGCTCTAATAATACTTGGATTGTCCTTGAAACTGCTTGGCCTACACCGAGAGTTACAGTCCCCTTTATATCCTCGTTTCACCACCAGTGTTTGACCAAAGAACATCAACAGTACACGGACAATGCAAGTAACAACGCATTGGTAGCCTGCTAATCCTACATAATACACGAGCATAATATGACTTTGAGACCCCCCCCCCCCACCGCCTACGCATTCCACAATGAGTGACTAACTCCATATCTGCATTTGTCATCAATATGCTAAATTCCTCTGTTGATATGTAAACTCCTTTATCAATGCACTCTCCTCCTCCCACCCAGATTAAAATACGCTGCCAAGCTTAGCAGTGTTCATTAGGAGCGCTGTCTTTCCGACAGCGCTGTTCTTCACCTGAGGACGGCTGCTTGCGTTGTGGCCGAAACGTCGTGACAATTTTATTTTGTATTATTTTTTATTATTTCCCTTCTACGTGGTGACTTTACCGAAAGAACCAAGAATATGAATCCCTGCGGTTACGAAAGCTTTAAATCTAAATGTATATATTCCAGTTACATATTCCGTTAAAGGGTTCCATGGATAATGAATGTGAGCGTTCCAGTGAACCCGCACGCCCGTCGCATCCTGTCTTGCTGCAGAAGCGTCGCTCCCTCTCGTGTACAGAGCCCACCTGGGGGGAGAGGTTGTGGCGGTGCAGCTCTTCACGCACGGCGCTCCGAGCCCAGTGCACCGAGTTCGATTCCCTGCCGCGGCAAACATTGGTGGAGTGTGGCCATTTGAGCTTGCGGCTCAAGAACCGCATGCGGTGGCTTTTTAAGGAATCGCCTTTGCGGCTCTTGAAATATCGAGGTTGTTTTTTTCTTTGTACCGAATTCGAAAAAGATGGCTCTTGTTGTTATTTTTGTTGCCGAAGCCTGCCCACGACCAAAAGGTGTGAAAGGGGGAGACACCTTGTCCGGTAGTGGCCCCTTTTTTTTATTATCCTTCTTAAAATTTGCGCGGAGCTCAAAGATGACGTTTCGCCTTCCAGGTCAGGAGCCTCATTTTCAAGAGGACCTCCGGTCTGAAGCGGATGAGCCCGGCGAAGCGGAGGACCTCAGTGAAGAAGAGGAGCTTACGGCCGATGACGGGGAACTTCATTCAGATGACGGGGACCTTCAGTCCGATGACGGGAAGCTACAGTCAGATGATGAGGACATTCGTGTTAAAGAAGAACCTTTGGAGAACGAGAAAGAGGACCTTGAGTCCAATGATAGGAAGCTTCAGTCCGATGAGGATCTTCAGAGTGACAATGGGGACCTCGATTCTGACGAAGAGGGTCTTGACGTCAAAGAAGGGCCATTGGAGAATGAGGACTCTCGGCCTCACGGTTCTATCGAGAGACCCGGGAAGTCGCGTGGAGATCCGGGGACTCCCTCGGACGTGGCGGAGATCGAGGTGGTCCTGGAGAACAGCAGGGGCCGGAGGAACCGGACGGACGGCAGGAAATCCGGCGACAACAAGAAGTCGCTCAGTTGCCCTCTGTGCGGCAGGGCGATGGCGTGCTTATCGGCCCTGAAGAGGCACGCGATGACGCACACGGGGGAGAGGCCCTTCAAGTGCTCCGTGTGCGGGAACGGCTTCCGGCTCGCGTCGACCCTCAAGAGCCACGCGATGATCCACACGGGGGAGAAGCCGTACAAGTGTTCCCTGTGCGCCAGGGACTTCATCCACTCATCGGCCCTCAAGAGGCACATGATGAACCACACCAACGAGAAGCCGCACAAGTGCTCGGCGTGCGGCAAGGCCTTCACCGACTCGTCGACGCTCAAGAGCCACCTCAAGAGCCACACGGGCGAGAGGCCGCACGAGTGCCCGACGTGCGGCAAGACCTTCGGGCACCTCTCCAACTTCAGGATCCACGTCAAGATCCACACGGGCGAGCGGAATCACCGCTGCCCCGTGTGCGACAAGGGCTTCCTGGAGGCGAAGTCTCTCAAGAACCACCTGATGGTGCACACGGGAGAGAAGCCTCACAAGTGCGCCGCGTGCGGCAAGGGCTTCACGAAGCCGTCCTTCCTCAGGAACCACGAGTTGACGCACGGGGACGAGAAGCCGCACAAGTGCGACGCTTGCGGGAAGGCCTTCACCCAGCTGGCGGCCCTCAGGGTCCACGCGATGGGCCACTCGGGCGAGAGGCCGCACAAGTGCGACGTCTGCGGCAAGGACTTCGCGTACCTCTCGGCCCTGAAGGTCCACGCGATGATCCACACGGGCGAGAAGCCGCACCGGTGCCCGATATGCGACAAGGACTTCAGAAAGTCGTCGGCCTGCAGCCGGCACATGAAATCGCACAGCGCGGAGAAGCCGTACAAGTGCTTCGTCTGCGGGAGGAACTTTGCGGATCTCTCGAATCTCAACTTCCACGTGAAGTGTCTCAATCACTGAGCCCGTCACGTAGAAGGGAAACAATAAAATAATAAAAGTATAAAACGATAAAATTCTCACGACGTTTCAACTGCAACACAAGCAGTCATCATCATCAGGTGTGAATACCACAGCAAGAAAATTTGAAAAAAAGTGGCGGTTATTTTTAACGTTTGCACCATGGAGAGCGATTTGACAGTTTGTTCAGATGGACGAGTCCATCTATGTTTGGAAAAGAGGAGGGGGGAGACGACAATAATGGATTCGGTCTGAAAGCCAGCATAAGCGTGAACAATCAATTAAGACCCGAAATGGTTTATCAAATCCTGCCAATGATTGCTAGGCCAGAATTCATCTTCTCGGTTGAAATTGTCTCTGTGTTTGTATATGTGGATAGCCTCATGGACGAATCTCTCATGGTAGCCAGATGGCTTGCAAAGAACCTCTGTCTTGGAGAAGTCAATGTCATGTGAGCCTACTGCATTATAACAGTGATCTGCCACGGCCGAGGTGTTGGTCCTACCGTGTTTTAGGTCTGCTTTGTGTTCACGAATGCGGTCCGAGACATGGCGTTTGGTTTCTCCAATGTAACTACTACCACAGAGGCAACTTAGTTTGTAGACACCAGGGTACTGTATGTCCGGAATCACATCTTTCACAGACGGGACCAGATCACGGATTTTATGTAATGTGTTGAATCGGTAGTTACATTGGAGAAACCAAACGACATGTCTCGGACCACATTCCTGAACACAAAGCAGAACTTAAACACGGTAGGACCAACACCTCGGCCGTGGCAGATCACTGTTATAATTCAGTAGGCTCACATGACATTGATTTCTCCAAGACAGAGGTTCTTTGCAAGCCATCTGGCTACCATGAGAGATTCGTTCATGAGGTTATCCACATATACAAACACAGAGACAATTTCAACCGAGAAGATGGATTCTGGCTTAGCATTCATTGGAAGGATTTGATACACCATTTCGGGTCTTAATTGATTGTTCACGCTTGCGGTGGCTTTCAGACAGCATACATTAATTTTTCGTCTCCCCCCTCCTCTTTTCCGAGCATAGATGGACTCGTCCATATAAACAAACTGTCAAATCGCTATCTGTGGCGCTAACGTTTAAAAATAAATAAATAAATACAAACCGCCACTTCATTCAAATGTTATTGCCGTTGGTTTTCACACCTGATGATGGCTGCTTGTGTTGCAGTCGAAACGTCGTGATAATTTAATTGTTTTATACATATTTTATTACTTCATTGTTTCCCTTCAACGTGACTTTACCGAAAGAACCAAGAATAAGAACCAAGAATATTAAAGAACGTCGTCGAAGACTCCGGCGATCGCAGTCCCCGTGGAGAAAGTCTTTGACGGGTTAGATCGCATAAATGTAAATATACAAACCCACCGAGACCCACACTCACCGAGACCCATACTGAAACGAACCTATGTTTATGTTACCAGGTGTGATGTCCCACTGAGCTCTATCATAGCTCATTTTCAAATAAGCGACCCTTGGCACAACACAAACGATGGCAGCTTAACCGAGTTGGGTTATCGTGTGGAAATGTTCAGAGCAGCAAAATACTCTGAACGTGTGACATTGGATGTCTAATTGTCGAGGGAGAAAGCCGGAGGACCCGGAGAAAAATGGAACGCGGCCACGGGGAGAGACGGAGACTCCGAATATCCAGCAGCAGCAGCAGGCATCGTCAGGGTCGGGATCGAAGCCACGACCTCCTGTAGACCAGGCGAGGTAGTTAACATCTCACCATGGGGAGAGAGAGACACGCAGTAGGCATCGCCTGATGAAGACCGCTTGTGTTGCGATCGAAAACGTCGTGAATTTTCGGTTTTTATTAAACAGATTTTTTTATTGAATGTTTTTCTATCTACGTGACTTTCCCGAAGAAGCAAAGAATTTGATTTCCTGCAGTCACGAATGTTTTAAATCACAACACTACACACTACTATACACTACACTACTATACACTACACTATACACTACACTATACACTACACTATACACTACTATACACTACACTATACACTACTATACACTACACTATACACTACAATATACACTACACTATACACTCTTATACACTACACTACTATATGTTACACTATACACTACTATACACTACACTACTATACAGTATACACTACACTACTATACACGACTATGCGCTACACTATACACTACTATACACTACACTATACACTACTATACACTACTATTCACTACTATACACTACACTATACACTACTATACACTACACTCTACACTACTATACACTACTATACACTACACACTACTATACACTACACTACACACTACTATACACTACACACTACACTACTATACACTACACTACACATTAATAGTTTATAGATTGGCGAATGGGGTTGAGATTTGTAGGCGATGCCAAGGCTTGGCCCGCGTCTCGACGCCCCCCACCACCACCAATCATTATTCAGGTTCCTGGGCCCCCACCAATCACTATGCAGGTTCCCGGGCCCCCACCACCACCAGTCACTAGGTTCCTGGGCCCCCACCAACAGACTGCAGGCTCCGCCCCCCCAAATAGGCGATGCAGGTTCCGGAGCCCCCAACAGTCAACTGCAGTCAACAGGCTATGCAGGCTCCGCCCCCCCCTATAGGCTATGCAGGCTCCGCCCCCCTCCATAGGCGATGCAGGCTCCGCAACCCCAATCGGCTATGCAGGCTCCGCCCCCCCCCCCAATCGGCTATGCAGGCTCCGCCCCCCCCCCCCCGCGCTATTCATGTTCCGGGACCTCCACCCCACCCTCGTCTCGCCCCGGAGCGGGTTTGCCCTCCTCTAGGTCGGCTCGGCCTCAAATGAGTACCCGGCGTAGCCGCGCGTGCGTGTGGTGTGGGGTGTTAACCGTCGGCGCTGGCCACCCACCCCCTCTGTGAGTGCCACAGCGCCGGTAGCCTTTCGTAGATGCTGCTCACAGCACTTGCCCCTACAGCCCTGCTAGAGGCTACCTGGGGGAGCTTTGTCTGTGTGTGCATCATAGGTGGTGCTACTCGCTAATAGCAGCACTTGCCCCTACAGCCCTGGGTCTCTATGGGTCTCTATGAGTCTCTGTGGGTCTCTATGGGTCTCTATGAGTATGGGTCTCTATGGGTCTCTGTGGGTCTCTATGGGTCTCTGAGTATGGGTCTCTATGAGTCTATGTGGGTCTATGTGGGTCTCTATGAGTATGGGTCTCTATGGGTCTCTGTGGGTCTCTATGGGTCTCTGAGTATGGGTCTCTATGAGTCTATGTGGGTCTATGTGGGTCTCTATGAGTATGGGTCTCTATGGGTCTCTGTGGGTCTCTATGGGTCTCTGAGTATGGGTTTCTATGAGTCTATGTGGGTCTATGTGGGTCTCTATGAGTATGGGTCTCTATGGGTCTCTGTGGGTCTCTATGGGTCTCTGAGTATGGGTCTCTATGAGTCTATGTGGGTCTATGTGGGTCTCTATGAGTCTCTATGAGTCTATGTGGGTCTCTATGAGTCTATGTGGGTCTCTATGAGTATGGGTCTCTATGAGTCTCTATGATTATGGGTCTGTATGAGTCTATGTGGGTCTATGTGGGTCTCTATGGGTCTCTATGCGTCTCTATGAGTATGGGTCTCTATGAGTCTATGTGGGTCTCTATGAGTGGGTCTCTATGAGTCTATGTGGGTCTCTATGAGTATGGGTCTCTATGAGTCTCTGAGTATGGGTCTCTATGAGTCTATGTGGGTCTGTGTGGGTCTCTATGAGTATGAGTCTCTATGGGTCTCTATGAGTATGGGTCTCTATGGGTCTCTATGAGTATGGGTCTCTATGGGTCTCTATGAGTCTATGTGGGTCTCTATGAGTATGGGTCTCTATGAGGATGGGTCTCTATGGGTCTCTATGAGTCTGTATTAACACGTTTAGAGTAATTTGTCTGCTGCTATGGATGCCCACGTGATGATGATGTCAGCCCACGTGGTCTCACAGCTGGTAACATGAACATTGTTTAGTCTTTAGGTGGATGCATCAATTGTGTTTGTATGTAAGTAGCCAACCGTGCTGATCGGAGGTGCGGTTGAGTGCATAGTGTAGTTTATACACTATACATTACACTATACATTACACTATACACTACACTATACACTACACTATTACACTACACTATACACTACACACTACACTATACACTACTACACTATACACTACACTACTACACTCTACACTACACACTACACTATACACTCCTACACTACACTGTACACTACTACACACTACACTATACACTACACTATAGACTAGACACTATACACTACACACTACTACACTATACACTACACTATAGACTAGACACTACTACACACTACACTACACTACACACTACTACACTACACTATACACTACACAAACCTGAAGTGCCGTGCCCACAGGTGAGGTCGCTTCGAAGGCTCCGAGGGAGGCGCCAGAAGGAGATCCTCCCGGCCGTGAGATGTCGCGGGGAGACCCTGGCGGTGAGTCATCCTCTAGGTGCACCTAGCCTGGCACCAGCGGTGGTGGTGGCGGTGAGTCATCCTCTAGGCGCACCTAGCCTGGCACCAGCGGTGGTGGTGGCGGTGGTGCTAGCAGTGAGTCAATCTCTAGGCGCACCTAGCCTGGCACTAGCGGTGGTGGTGGTGGCGGTGAGTCATCCTCTAAGCGCACCTAGCCTGGCACTAGCGGTGGTGGTGGTGGCGGTGAGTTATCCTCTAGGTGCACCTAGCCTGGCACCAGCGGTGGTGGTGGCGGTGAGTCATCCTCTAGGCGCACCTAGCCTGGCACCAGCGGTGGTGGTGGCGGTGAGTCATCCTCTAGGCGCACCTAGCCTGGCACTAGCGGTGGTGGTGGCGGTGGTGCTGGCAGTGAGTCAATCTCTAGGCGCACCTAGCCTGGCACTAGCGGTGGTCGTGGTGAGGGTTGATGGAGAGCGGCGGCGGCGTCTTGAGACTCTCACCGCGCTGGGTTCCTCTTGGGACAGGAGACGTGGAGGAGGTGGAGGAGGTGGAGGAGGTGAAGGAGTTGGAGGAGGTGGAGGAGGTGAAGCAGTTGGAGGAGGAGGTGAAGGAGGAGGTGAAGGAGGTGAAGGAGGAGCCGGGCGGTGAGACGTGGCCGCCCGTGAAGGTGGAGAGAGACGACGCTGACGATGGTGAGTGGTGGTGAGTGGTGGTGGTGAGTGGTGGTGGGTGGTGGTGAGTGGTGGTGAGTGGTGGTGGTGGGTGGTGGTGAGTGGTGGTGAGTGGTGGTGGTGGTGACAGCCTCAACCACCATCACATCGAGTACAACAACACCAGACTACTACACTATACGCTATACACTACACTATTCACTACACTACACTATACACTACACTATTCACTACACTACACACTACACTACACACTACACTACACACTACACTTTACACTACACTATACACTACGACACATGGAGCTCTATGGAGCGATTGCTCGTCAACAGGGCTGCTCTACTGTAACAGAGCCCGCCCAGGGGGCGGAGCTGGCGTAGGCGCAACAACCGTCACGTGTCACGTGTCACGTGACGTGTCACGTGACACGTGTCACGTGACACATCATGTTACACGTCATCACTCAACCTGCACTGCTGCCCAGCGTGGTGAAAGTGACCCCCCTCCCCGCCCCCGTAGCTGGGTAACAAGTTTTCCTTTTCATCGAAATTCACGCGGAGCTCAACGATGACCTTTCTCCTCCTAGGTCAGGAATCTGATTTTCGCGAAGTCCTCCGACCCAAAGCTTTGGGGGACCTCGGCGAAGACGAGGACCTCGACTCCAACGACGGGGACCTTCGGTCCGACGGAGAGGATCCTCGTGTTAAAGAGGAACCTTTGGAGAATGAGAAAGAGGACCTCGACTCCGACGACGGGAAGCTTCGGTCCGACCGAGAGGATCTTCGCGGCAAAGAAGGGCCTCTGGAGGACGAGGACCTTCCCGCCGGTGCTTCGACGGAGAGAGCTGGGGAGTCGCGGGGAGACCGGGGGACTCCCTCGGACGTGGCGGAGATCGAGGTGGTCCTGGAGAACAGCAGGGGCCGGAGGAACCGGACGGACAGCCGGAAACCCGGCGACGGCAAGAAGCCGCTCAGTTGCCCTCTGTGCGGCAGGGCGATGGCGTGCTTATCGGCCCTGAAGAGGCACGCGATGACGCACACGGGGGAGAGGCCCTTCAAGTGCTCCGTGTGCGGGAACGGCTTCCGGCTCGCGTCGACCCTCAAGAGCCACGCGATGATCCACACGGGGGAGAAGCCGTACAAGTGTTCCCTGTGCGCCAGGGACTTCATCCACTCGAAGGCCCTCAAGAGGCACATGATGAACCACACGGGCGAGAAGCCGCACAAGTGCTCGGCGTGCGGCAAGGCCTTCAACGACTCGTCGACGCTCCGGAGCCACGCGAGGATCCACACGGGCGAGAGGCCGCACGGGTGCCCAACGTGCGGCAAGACCTTTGGGCACCTCTCCGACCTCAGGAGCCACGTCAAGATCCACACGGGCGAGCGGAATCACCGCTGCCCCGTGTGCGACAAGGGCTTCCTGGAGGCCAAGTCTCTCAAGAACCACGCGATGGTGCACACGGGAGAGAGGCCGCACAAGTGCGACGTCTGCGGCAAGGCCTTCGCGTACCTGTCGGCCCTGAAGGTCCACGCGATGATCCACACGGGCGAGAAGCCGCACCGGTGCCCGATATGCGACAAGGACTTCAGAAAGTCGTCGGCCTGCAGCCGGCACGTGAAATCGCACAGCGCGGAGAAGCCGTACAAGTGCCTCGTCTGCGGGAGCAACTTTGCGGATCTCTCGAATCTCAACTTCCACGTGAAGTGTCTCAATCACTGAGCCCGTGTGGAGCCCTCCAGCACGGTCCACTCCGTTTGAACGTGGATATCGCCGCTCTCAACCCCCGTGTTGACATCCACCGGGGGTAAGATTGCGACGATCGTCGCCAGCAGTCTTCCCCCCGGGCATAAGTTACCGCATCACTTCCAGTTATCATTCCCCCGTTTCCGTTATGCTGTGATGCGCACTCATGCCTACTTTATAGAGGGCGATATTGGTATGTAAAAATAAACATTGATTGTGGCTAGGTAGATGTTAACTACCTTGCCTGGTATGCGGGGGATCGTAGGTTCAATCCTGACCCTGACGCCTGCTGCTGTATATTTGGAGCTTGCGTGTTCTCCCCGTGGTCGCCTGCATATTTTTTTCCCTACGCAATTTAGAATCACTGCGCGTTTACGGTAGTTGGCTCCTGTAAGTGTCCACTTGCTGAGGTTGCTGCAGCAGCAGCTATCGTCTGTGATCTGAGTTGGATGATGGCATTCCAGTCATTTACTAGGGGGGGGTGAATGGATTTATGTTCTTGGTTCTTTCGGTAAAGTCACGTAGAAGGGAAACAATAAAATAATAAAAGTGTAAAACGATAAAATTCTCACGACGTTTCGACTGCAACACAAGCAATCATCATCATCAGGTGTGAAAACCACAGCAAGAAAATTTGAAAAAAAGTGGGGGTTATTTTTAACGTTAACACCACGGAGAGCGATTTGACAGTTTGTTCAGATGGACGAGTCCATCTTTGTTCGGAAAAGAGGAGGGGGGAGACGAAAATAATGGATGCGGTCTAAAAGCCACCGTAAGCGTGAACAATCAATTAAGACCCAAAATGGTTTATCAAATCCTTCCAATGATTGCTAAGCCAGAATCCATCTTCTCGGTTGAAATTGTCTCTGTGCTTGTATATGTGGATAGCCTCATGAACGAATCTCTCATGGTAGCCAGATGGCTTACAAAGAACCTCTGTCTTGGAGAAGTCAATGTCATGTGAGCCTACTGAATTATAACAATGATCTGCCACGGCCGAGATGTTGGTCCTACCGTGTTTAAGGTCTGCTTTGTGTTCACGAATGCGGTCCGAGACATGGCGTTTGGTTTCTCCAATGTAACTACTACCACAGAGGCAACTTAGTTTGTAGACACCAGGGTACTGTATGTCCGGAATCACATCTTTTACAGACGGAACCAGATCACGGATTTTATGTAATGTGTTGAAACGGACCTGGATCTTGTGTTTATTCAAGATTTTGGAGATCTTTTTTGTGATCCCCGCAATGTAGGGTAAAGGATGGTTTTGAAAGGCTCCTCAAGAGGGTCCTTCATGGTTTGAGTGATAGCTTTGTGGATTGTATTGTCGGAGTAACCATTAGCCTTAAGAGCTTGGTGTACGTGCTTGAGTTCACTGCCTATGTGTTCCTGGTCAGATATGCATTGGGCTCTATGGTACAGAGTCTTGATGAGAGAATTCTTCTGTGATGGATGGTGGTGGGAATCCGGTTTCAGATAAGCATCCGTATGGGTAGCTTTCCTGTAGACAGAGTGGCTCATTGAACCATCAGGTCTCTTTTTTTTAGGACATCCAAAAAAGGTAGCTTGCCATCTTTTTCGACTTCCATGGTAAATCTGATGGCTGGGTGTATGGAATTGATGTGGTCGAAGAATTGGTCTAGAGCAGGCCGGCCATGTGGCCAGATGACAAAAGTGTCACCCACGTACCTCTTCCATAAGGTTGGGCGCAGAGTGGCAGTCTGGATGGCGTCAGTCTCAAATTTCTCCATGAAAATGTTAGCTATAACCGGAGATAGGGGGGAGCCCATTGGGGTGCCCTCAGTTTGTTTGTAGAAAGTTCCATTCCAAGTGAAGTATGTATTAGTTAAGCAGTGTCTCACCAGGGGGGGGCGGGTACCTCAGTGTTTAGTCCTTCATGAACCAAGTCTTCAATGATTGCGATGGTGTCAGGTACAGGAACTTTGGTGAATAAGGAAACTACATCAAAACTGACAAGCAGGTCGTCTGGGGACAGGGAAATACCCTTGATTGTCGATACCAGGTGAGTAGAATTTTGTACCGCAGAGGTGGTTTTTCCAGTGAAAGGACGCAGGATTTCAGACAAAAAATGAGACAGTTTGTAGGTGGGGGAGTTGATAGTAGAGACGATGGGACGAAGGGGTGTATCTACTTTATGTATTTTTGGTAAGCCGTATAATCTTGGTGGCTTGGCAGCAGGTTTCAACCAAAACTGTTTAGATTGATCAATTAATGCGGTTGAATCAGAAATCATTTTGTTGGTTTGTGTGACGAGGCTGTTGGTGGGATCTCTTTTTATTTTTGTATAGCTACAATCGTCGAGTAATTCTTTAATTTTGTTATATTCTATTTTATCCATGATGACAGTAGCATTTCCCTTGTCAGCTGAGAGGTCTACAATGTCATCCCTCTTTTTTAATTTATATAATTCAAAACGCTCATCTTTGCTGAGGTTGCTAGCTGGCATCTTAGCGTTTTTAAGGGTTGCAGCGATTTCAGATCTTGCTACGTCTGCAGCGATGTGACCCAGGTCCCTGAGAGCAACGTTTACTTGGGCAATGATGTCATTAACTGGTATGTGTTTAGGTGTGACTGCAAAGTTTAGACCTTTAGCTAAAATGGATTTCAGACCATCGGAAATATAACTGTTACTGCGATTAATTACGACTTTGTTAACGTCTAGCTTTTTGGTGTATGGGTCCGGCCTTTTGTTGAAGAGGTTAAATTTGGAAATCAGGTTGTCCTTATATTTGGTCGACATAGTAGCAGCTGAAGAGGCAGTCATATTGTCTACATGTTCCCAATGTTATGTGAACATTGTTGCCGTCAATGATAAGTGTGATTTGTAGAGTGTCTTGTCTAACTGATCTAGTTCGGTGCTTATAAGTCTGGTTTTCTCTGAGATAAGAGCTAAGCTAGTTCTAGAAAGAATTCGCTTCGCATTAGAAGTTACAGCAGCAGAGGTCAGTGTAAATGCGATTGGTATTACCCCAGAGTCGCGGCATCTCTTCAGAAAGGTGAGAGACGGCAGCTTTCCAAAAATAAAAAGAGATCCCACCAACAGCCTCGTCATACAAACCAACAAAATCATTTCTGATTCAACCGCATTAATTGATCAAACCAGTTTTCCTTGAAACCTTCTGCTGCCAGGCCACCAAGATTATACGGCTTACCAAAAATACATGAAGTAGATACAACCCTTCGTCCCATCGTCTCTACTATCAACTCCCCCACCTACAAACTGGCTTGTTTTCTGTCTGAAATCGTGCAGCCTTTCACTGGAAAAACCACCTCTGCGCTACAAAATTTTACTCACCTGGTATCAACAATCAAGGGTATTTGCCTGTCCCCAGAAGACCTGCTTGTCAGTTTTGATGTAGTTTCCTTATTCACCAAAGTTCCTGTACCTGACACCATCGCAATCATTGAAGACTTGGTTCATCAAGGACTAAACACTGAGGTACCCCCCTGGTGAGACACTGCTTAACCAATACATCCTTCACTTGGAATGGAACTTTCTAGAAACAAACTGAGGGCACCCCAATGGGCTCCCCCCTATCTCCGGTTGTAGCCAATGCAGCAGGGATTCATATTCTTGGTTCTTTCGGTAAAGTCACGTACTAGGGAAATATTAAAATAATAAAATATATACAACAATAAAATTCTCATGACGTTTCGACTGCAACACAAGCAGTCATCATCAGGTGTGAAAACCAACGGCAAGAACATTTGAAAGCAGTGGCGGTTTGTATTTTTTTTAAACGTTAGCACCATGGATAGCGATTTGACAGTTTGTTTAGATGGACGACTCCATTTATGTTCTGAAAAGAGGAGGGGGGAGACGAAAAATTAATGTATGCTGTCTGAAAGCCACCGTAAGCGTAAACAATCAATTAAGACCCAAAATGGTTTATCAAATCCTTCCAATGATTGCTAAGCCAGAATCCATCTTCTCAGTTGAAATTGCCTCTGTGCTTGTATATGTGGATAGCCTCATGAACGAATCTCTCATGGTAGCCAGATGGCTTACAAAGAACCTCTGTCTTGGAGAAGTCAATGTCATGTGAGCCTACTGAATTATAACAATGATCTGCCACGGCCGAGGTGTTGGTCCTACCGTATTTAAGGTCTGTTTTGTGTTCACGAATAAGGTCCGAGACATGTCGTTTGGTTTCTACAATGTAACTACTACCACAGAGGCAACTTAGTTTGTAGATGCGAAGGTACTGTATGTCCGGAATCACATCTTTTACAAACGGGACCAGATCACGGATTTTATGTAATGTGTTGAATCGGACCTGGATCTTGTGTTTATTAAAGATTTTGGAGATCTTTTTAGTGATCCCGCAATGTAGGGTAAAGTGATGGTTTTGAATGGCTCCTCAAAAGGGTCCTTCTTCATGGTTGGAGTGATAGCTTTGCGGATTGTGTAGTCGGAGTAATCATTAGCCTTAGGAGCTTGGTGTACGTGCTCGAGTTCACTGGCAATGTGTTCCTGGTCGGATATGCATTGGGCTCTATGGTGCAGTCTTTATGAGGGAATTTTTCTGGGATGGATAGTGGTGGGAATCCCGTTTCAGGTAAGCATCCGTATGGGTAGCTTTCCTGTAGACAGAGTGGCTCATTGAACCATCAGGTCTCTTTTTTATTAGGACATCTAAAAAAGGTAGCTTGGTTAGAACGCTTGAATGTAAATATACAAACCCACCGAGACCCACTCACCGAGACCCATACTGAAACGAACCTATGTTTATGTTACCAGGTGTGACGTCCCACTGAGCTCTATCATAGCTCATTTTTAAATAAGCGACCCTTGGCACATCGCAAACGATGGCAGCTCAACCGAGTTGGGTTATCGCGTGGAAATGTTCAGAGCAGCAAAATACTCTGAACGTGTGACATTGGATGTCTAATTGTCGAGGGAGAAAGCCGGAGGACCCGGAGAAAAATGGAACGCGGCCACGGGGAGAGACGGAGACTCCGAATATCCAGCAGCAGCAGCAGGCATCGTCAGGGTCGGGATCGAAGCCACGACCTCCTGTAGACCAAGCGAGGTAGTTAACATCTCACCATGGGCAGAGAGAGACACGCAGACTACAAATATCCAGCAGTAGGCATCGCCTGATGAAGACCGCTTGTGTTGCAATCGAAAACGTCGTGCATTTTAGGTTTTTATTAAAAAAGATTTTTCATTGAATGTTTTTCTATCTATGTGACTTTCAAGAAGCAAAGAATTTGATTTCCTGCAGTCACGAAAGTTTTAAATCACAACACTACACACTACTATACACTACACTACTATACACTACACTATACACTACACTACTATACACTACACTACTATACACTACACTGTACACTACTACACACTACACTACTATACACCACAATGTACACTACTACACTACTATACACTACACTATACACTACTACACACTACACTACTATACACTACACTATACACTACTACACACTACACTATACTCTACACTACACTATACACTACTATACACTACTATACGCTACACTACTATATGCTACACTACTATACACTACACTATACACTACTATACACTACACTATACACTACACTATACACTACTACATGATACACTACACGACTATACACTACACTATACACGACACTATATACTACTATACACTACACTATACACTACTACACTATACACCACTACACACTATACACTGCACTATAAACCACTACACACTACTATACACCACACAATACACTACACTATACACTACTATAAACTACACTATACACTACTATACACTACTAAACACTACTATGCGCTACACTATACACCACACTATACTACGCACTACAGTATACACTACACTATACACTACACTATACACTGCACTATACACCACACTACACATTAATAGTTTATAGATTGGTGAATGGGGTTGAGATTTTAAAGTATTAAAGCTTTCGTGACTGCATAAAATTACTCATTGGGTTTTTCGGTAAAGTCACGTATGTAGAAATACAATAAAATTATATTAAAATAAAAAACAATCACGACGTTTAGATCACAACGCAAGCGATCTTCATCAGGTGTCAAGAACAAATCACGGGAGGTAAATACAAACACAAAAAGATGAGAGACGAGAATTCAACAAACCTGAAAAAAACATTACGTGAAGCACATCCAGTCAGGCCAACAACACAGACACTTCCTGGCGGACCACGAATTTCAGAAGAGTGTTAAATTTCGTGTTCAACCTTTGGATTGCACATACCAGCATAGATAGAATGAAAAATACGAGGTACACGGTCAGTAGAAATACATATACAAGTCCACCAAGTAGGTAAGGAGGGAGGAAAGACGGACAGGGAGGCAGAGAGAGAGGGGGGTGGCGGAGGGATGAACAGAAGCTTAAATAGTAAATACGGTTGGAGGGGGGAAGGGGCCAGAGCGAGAGCGGCAGCTCAAACACGCAACATCTTACACATGCAAAACGGCAGCTCAAAAAAGGACTACCTCTTGTAAATACAAAACGGCAGCTCAAAAAAGGGCCACCTCTTGTAAATACAAAACGGCAGCTCAAAAAAGGACCACCTCTTGTAACTACAAAACGGCAGCTCAAAAAAGGACCACCTCTTGTAAATACAAAACGGCAGCTCAAAAAAGGGCACATCTTACACATAATTACAACGGTAACTTCCCCGTAGAAGTGTGATAATAAAGTATGAAAGCTTTCGTGTCTGCATAAAATTACTCATTGCTTTTTTCGGTAAAGTCACGTATGTAGAAATACAATAAAATTATATTAAAACAAAAAAACAATCACGACGTTTCGATCACAACGCAAGCGATCTTCATCAGGTATCATGAACAAATCACAGAGGTAAATACAACAAAAAGATGAGAGACGAGAATTCAACAAACCTGTAAAACCATTATGTGAAGCACATCCAGTCAGGCCAACAACACAGTTAGACACTTCCTGGCGGGCAACGCATTTCAGAAAAGTGTTAAATTTCGTGTTCAACCTTTGGATTGCACATACCAGCATAGATAGAATGAAAAATACGAGGTACACGGTCAGTAGAAATACATATACAAGTCCACCAAGTAGGTAAGGAGGGAGGAAAGACAGACAGGGAGGCAGAGAGAGAGCGAGAGAGGGCGACGGACCCCAACATCTTCAGGGACTTTTGGATTGCACATACCAGCATAGATAGAATGAAAAATACGAGGTACACGGTCAGTAGAAATACATATACAAGTCCACCAAGTAGGTAAGGAGGGAGGAAAGACGGACACGGAGGCAGAGAGAGGGCGACGGACCCCAACATCTTCAGGGGCTGGGTCAACGTGCTCTTCGGCTACGCTAAGCTCGCCCATATACAGGGCGAGGAAGGTGGCCCCTGGAGGGGCAACGTCCGGCCAGCGGCCTGGGCATCTTCCGCGCTCCGGTCGGAGCCAGGGTGAGTGTGGGCCCGGAGTTCCGCCACGCGCGGCTGACCCACGCCGTGCCGGCCTTCAAGGAGCAAGTGGGCGCTGGAGGAGGCTGCGTGCTCGGTGGCAGATGACGTTAGAGAGCTCTCTGTGCGTGCAGATTGTGAGCTAGCCGTCGGAGGCCGTTTCACTGTGGGAGGGGCTGCGTGCAGATGCAGCACTTGTCGTAGTTATAAAGAACAAAGAGAGAGAGAGAGCGAGAGAGCCAAATGGAGTAGGACGAGAGGGGGGTAGAGAGAGAGGGGGGGCGGAGAGGGGGGTAGAGAGAGAGGGGGGGCGGAGAGGGGGGTAGAGAGAGAGGGGGGTAGAGATAGGGGGGCGGAGAGGGGGGTAGAGAGAGAGGGGGGGCGGAGAGGGGGGTAGAGAGAGGGGGGGTAGAGAGAGAGGGCGGCGGAGAGGGGGGTAGAGAGAGAGGGGGGTAGAGAGAGAGGGGGGGGGCAGAGAGTGGGGTAGAGAGAGAGGGGGGGCGGAGAGGGGGTAGAGAGAGAGGGGGGGCGGAGAGAGAGGGGGGGAAAGGAGAGAAGAACAAAAAATATTTTTTTTGTTGGGTCTTTCATTTAAAAGGGGGGGGGGGGGGTTTACATATAAAAACAATAAAAACCGAAATGATGAACGGAGCAAAGTGCCGACTACACCGAGCATCTTCTTGTTTACTCTGATCGTAAGAAAAAAGAGAGAGGGGGGTTGAGATTTGTAGCCGATGCCAAGGCTTGGCACGCGTCTCGACGCCCCTCACCACCACCAATCACTATTCAGGTTCCTGGGCCCCCCCCCCACCACCAATCACTATTCAGGTTTCCGGGCCCTCGACCATTATGCAGGTTCCCGGGCGCCCATCACCAATGGGCTGCAGGCTCCGCCCCCCCAATAGGCTATGCAGGCCCCGCCCCCCCAAGCGGCTAACCAGTCTCCGCCCCCAATAGGCTATGCAGGCCCCGCCCCCGTAATAGGCTATGCAGGCCCCGCCCCCCCAAGCGGCTATGCAGGTTCCGCCCCCCCCCCCCGCTATTCATGTTCCGGGACCCCTAACCCCATCCTCGTCTCGCCCCGGAGCGGGTTCGCCCTCCTCTAGGTCGGCTCGGCCTCAAATGAGTACCCGGCGTAGCCGCGCGTGCGTGTGGTGTGGGGTGTTAACCGTCGGCGCTGGCCACCCACCCCCTCTGTGAGTGCCACAGCGCCGGTAGCCTTTCGTAGATGCTGCTCACAGCACTTGCCCCTACAGCCCTGCTAGAGGCTACCTGGGGGAGCTTTGTCTGTGTGTGCATCATAGGTGGTGCTACTCGCTACTAGCAGCACTTGCCCCTACAGCCCTGGGTCTCTATGGGTCTCTATGAGTCTCTGTGGGTCTCTATGAGTATGGGTCTCTATGAGTCTCTATTAGTATGGGTCTCTATGGGTCTATGAGGGTCTCATTGGGTCTCTATGAGTATGGGTCTCTATGAGTCTATGTGAGTCTATGTGGGTCTCTATGAGTATGGGTCTCTATGGGTCTATGTGGGTCTCTATGAGTATGGGTCTCTATGGGTCTATGAGGGTCTCATTGGGTCTCTATGAGTATGGGTCTCTATGGGTCTATGTGGGTCTCTATGGGTCTCTGAGTATGGGTCTCTATGAGTCTATGTGAGTCTATGGTGGGTCTCTATGAGTATGGGTCTCTATGAGTATGGGTCTCTATGAGTCTCTATGAGTATGGGTCTCTATGAGTATGGGTCTCTGAGTCTCTATGAGTATGGGTCTCTATGGGTCTATGTGGGTCTCTATGGGTCTCTATGAGTATGGGTCTCTATGAGTCTATGTAAGTCTATGTGGGTCTCTATGAGTATGGGTCTCTATGGGTCTATGTGGGTCTCTATGAGTATGGGTCTCTATGGGTCTATGTGGGTCTCTATGAGTATGGGTCTCTATGAGTGTGGGTCTCTATGGGTCTATGTGGGTCTCTATGAGTATGGGTCTCTATGAGTATGGGTCTCTATGGGTCTCTATGAGTCTGTATTAACACGTTTAGAGTAATTTGTCTGCTGCTATGGATGCCCACGTGATGATGATGTCAGCCCACGTGGTCTCACAGCTGGTAACATGAACATTGTTTAGTCGTTAGGTGGATGCATCATTTGTGTTTGTAAGTAGCCAACCGTGCTGATCGGAGGTGCGGTTGAGTGCATAGTGTAGTTTATACACTATACACTACACTATACACTACACTATACACTACTACACACTATACACTACTACACTAGACTATACACTACACTATACACTACACTATACACTAGACACTACTACACTACACTATACTCCTACACTACACTATACACTACACTATACACTACACTACTACATTACACTATACACTACACTATACACTACACTACTACACTATACACTACACTATATACTACACTACACACTACACTACACTATACACTACACTACTATACTACACTATACACTACACTATACACTACACTACTACACTACACTATACACTATTACACTACACTATACACTACACTATACACTACACTACTATACTACACTCTACACTACACTATACACTACACTACTACACTACACTAGACCCTACTACACTACACTATACACTACTACACTACACTAGACACTACTACACTACACTATACACTACACTATACACTACACTCTCCACTATACACTACACTATACACTACACTAAACACTACCCTAGACACTACTACACTACACTAGACCCTACTACACTACACTATACACTACACTCTACACTACACAAACCTGAAGTGCCGTGCCCACAGGTGAGGTCGCTTCGAAGGCTCCGAGGGAGGCGCCAGGAGGAGATCCTCCCGGCCGTGAGATGTCGCTGGGAGACCCTGGCGGTGAGTCATCCTCTAGGTGCACCTAGCCTGGCACTAGCGGTGGTCGTGGTGAGGGTTGATGGAGAGCGGCGGCGGCGTCTTGAGACTCTCACCGCGCTGGGTTCCTCTTGGGACAGGAGACGTGGAGGAGGTGGAGGAGGTGGAGGAGGTGAAGGAGTTGGAGGAGGTGGAGGAGGTGAAGGAGGAGGTGAGGGAGGTGAAGGAGGAGGTGAAGGAGGTGGAGGTGAAGGAGGAGCCGGGCGGTGAGACGTGGCTGCCCGTGAAGGTGGAGAGAGGCGACGCTGACGATGGTGAGTGGTGGTGAGTGGTGGTGGTGAGTGGTGGTGAGTGGTGGTGAGTGGTGGTGGGTGGTGGTGAGTGGTGTTGAGTGGTGGTGGGTGGTGGTGGGTGGTGGTGAGTGGTAGTGAGTGGTGGTGAGTAGTGGTGGTGAGTGGTGGTGAGTGGTGGTGGTGAGTGGTGGTGGTGAGTGGTGGTGGGTGGTGGTGAGTGGTGGTGGGTGGTGGTGAGTGGTGGTGAGTGGTGGTGGGTGGTGGTGAGTGGTGGTGGGTGGTGGTGAGTGGTGGTGGTCAGTAGTGGTGGTGAGTGGTGGTGAGTGGTGGTGGTGGTGAGTAGTGGTGGTGGTGGGTGATGGGTGATCCTCTGGTGACAGCCTCCACCATCACATCGAGTACAGCAACACCAGACTCCTACACTACACTGTACACTAGACACTACTGCACTATACACTATACTATACACTATACACTACACTATACACTACACTATACACTACACTATACTACTACACTACACTATACACTACACTATACACTAGACACTACTACACTATACACTACACTATACACTACACTATACACTACACTATACACTACACACTACACTACACTACTTCACTACACTACACACTACACTACACACTACACTATACACTACACTATACACTACTACACGTTGGAGCTCTATGGAGCGATTGCTCGTCAACAGGGCTGCTCTACTGTAACAGAGCCCGCCCAGGGGGCGGAGCTGGCGTCTGTGCGACATGTCACGTGACGTGTCACGTGACATGACACGTGACGCGTGAACGTCACGTTACACGCCATCACTCAACCTGCACTGCTGCCCAGCATGGTGAAAGTTGTAGTCACGTGACCCCCCTCCCCGCTCCCATAGCTGGGTAACAAGTTTTCCTTTTCATCGAAATTCACCTTCTTTGGTTCTTTCGGTAAAGTCACGTAGAATGAGAATAAAATAAAAAAAAAATAAAAAAAAATAACACAATAAAATTCTCACGGCGTTTCGGCCACAACACAAGCGGCCTTCATCAGGTGAAGGGACGAGACTGTCTGGAGGACAGCGCTGGAGCAAACACAGCCAAGCTCAGACCGCGACCTTTAAGCTGTGTGAGAAGAAACAGAGCGCCTTGACAAAGGAATTATCATAAAAATTAGCATTTAATTGCCGGACTTAGCATGATGAACGGTGTAGAGGGGGTGAACATGTGCAGATAGGCGAGGGGGGGAGGGGTAGTTTACATATTGATGGTGTGAAAAGGGAATTTAAGCTGCTGCGAAAGTTTGGGATACCACTACTTGAAAAAATATACTGTACTATTGAAAATTAGTTTAATGTTTGGTTTGGATAATTTAGCATTGAAATAGCTGCGTGATTAGCTTGTGACTGGTCGCAGAAATGGCTATGTTAAAGTCAAAGCCTACACATCCACAGAGGCACCTAGTACAAATCAAACAGGAGAATTTAGCATTGAAATAACTGAGTGATTAACTTGTGACTGGTCATAGAAATAGCTATGTTAAAGTCAAAGCCTACACATCCACAGAGGCACCTAGTACAAATCAAACAGGAGAATTTAGCATTGAAATAACTGAGTGATTAACTTGTGACTGGTCATAGAAATAGCTATGTTAAAGTCAAAGCCTACACATCCACAGAGGCACCTAGTATAAATCAAACAGGAGAATTTAGCATTGAAATAACTGAGGGATTAGCTTGTGACTGGTCATAGAAATAACTATGTTAAAGTCAAAGCCTACAAATCTACAGAAGCACCTTTTTCAAGTAGTGGTATCCCAAATTTTCACAGCAGCTTAAATTCCATTTTCACACCATCAATATGTAAACTCCCCCTCCCCCCCTCGCCTATCTGCACATGTTCACCCCCTCTACACTGTTCATCATGCTAAGTCCGGCAATTAAATGCTAATTTTTATGATAATTCCTTTGTCAAGGCGCTCTGTTTCTTCTCACACAGCTTAAAGGTCGTGGTCTCAGCTTGGCCGTGTTCGCTCCAGCGCTGTCCTCCAGACAGTCTCGTCCCTTCACCTGATGAAGGCCACTTGTGTTGTGGCCGAAACGTCGTGAGAATTTTATCGTGTTATTTTATTATTTGTATTTTATTCTCATGCTACGTGACTTTGCCGAAAGAACCAAAGAAGATGAATCCTTGCAGTCACGAAAGCTTTAAATCGAAATTCACGCGGAGCTCAACGATGACCTTTCTCCTCCTAGGTCAGGCATCTGATTTTCGCGAAGTCCTCCGACCCAAAGCTTTGGGGGACCTCGGCGAAGACGAGGACCTCGACTCCGACCACCAGGACCTTCGGTCCGACGGAGAGGATCCTCGTGTTAAAGAGGAACCTTTGGAGAATGAGAAAGAGGACCTCGACTCCGACGACGGGAAGCTTCGGCCCAACCGAGAGGATCTTCGCAGCAAAGAAGGGCCTCTGGAGGACGAGGACCTTCCCGCCGGTGCTTCGACGGAGAGAGCCGGGGAGTCGCGGGGAGACCGGGGGACTCCCTCGGACGTGGCGGAGATCGAGGTGGTCCTGGAGAACAGCAGGGGCCGGAGGAACCGGACGGACGGCCGGAAACCCGGCGACGGCAAGAAGCCGCTCAGTTGCCCTCTGTGCGGCAGGGCGATGGCGTGCTTATCGGCCCTGAAGAGGCACGCGATGACGCACACGGGGGAGAGGCCCTTCAAGTGCTCCGTGTGCGGGAACGGCTTCCGGCTCGCGTCGACCCTCAAGAGCCACGCGATGATCCACACGGGGGAGAAGCCGTACAAGTGTTCCCTGTGCGCCAGGGACTTCATCCACTCATTGGCCCTCAAGAGGCACATGATGAACCACACCAACGAGAAGCCGCACAAGTGCTCGGTGTGCGGCAAGGCCTTCACCGACTCGTCGACGCTCAAGAGCCACGCGAGGATCCACACGGGCGAGAGGCCGCACGAGTGCCCAACGTGCGGCAAGACCTTCGGGCACCTCTCCAACTTCAGGAGCCACACGAAGATCCACACGGGCGAGCGGGCTCACCGCTGCCCCGTGTGCGACAAGGGCTTCCTGGAGGCGAAGTCTCTCAAGAACCACCTGATGACCCACACGGGAGAGAAGCCTCACAAGTGCGAGCTCTGCGAGAAGGAGTTTGTGCAGCCGTCGGCCCTGAAGGTCCACGCGATGATCCACACAGGCGAAAAGCCGCACCGGTGCCCTATATGCGACAAGGACTTCAGAAATTCGTCTGCCTGCAACAGGCACATCAAGTCGCACAGCGTGGAGAAGCCGTACAAGTGCTTCGTCTGCGGGAGAAACTTCGCGGATCTCTCGAATCTCAACTTCCACATGAAGTGTCTCAATCACTGAGCCCGTGTGAAGCCCAGGTACCGGCACGTGTGCACGTACGTTGAACTGATTTCGCACCGTACGCAGCCGGCCGTAGCTTATTGGAGGTGCGGGGGAAGGACAACAAAACTAAACACCACGACAACAACGTCAACAAGCGGTTCTAAAGAAATTAGTTTTTTCGGTAAAGTCACGTAGAAATAATAAAATAACATAATAGTGTACGACGTTTTGATTGCAACACAAGCAATCATCATCAGGTACAGAAGAGCTAAATTTACGAGAGAGAGAGAAGACACATAACCGCAGATATATATATACAGACACAGATACAACAGGGGATACAGAGAGAGAGAAACGTGGGAGCACACTAAATCAAACAGGTTTTAGCAAGATTTGGAAACCTGTATATATCTGCAGTTATGTGTCTCCTCTCTCTCGTAAATTTAGCTCTGTTGTACCTGATGATGATTGCTTGTGTTGCAATCGAAACGTCGTACACTATTATGTTATCTAATTATTTCCACGTGACTTTACCGAAAAAAAACAAAGAATAATTCCTGCAGTCACGAAAGCTCCAAATTCAAGAAATTAGTTTGTCGATATATTCTTGGTTCTTTCGGTAAAGTCGCCACGTAGAAGGGTAACAATAAAATAATAAAAATGTAAAACAATACAATTCTCACGACGTTTCCACTGCAACACAGGCAATCATCAGGTGTGAAAACCACAGCCGATATACAGGAGTAACTGACAAATTAGCCCGTGTTTTGCAAAAGCAAAACATTACAGTAAGATTTGGTACAGTACACAAAATTCAAAAACTAGTATCTTGCACTAAAGACGCATTACCTAAATTATCAACAGAAGGTGTATATCGGATTAATTGTTTATGTGGCAGATGCTATATTGGACAGACGGGACGTAACAGCATAAGACTAAAAGAACATCAAAGAAATATTAAATTATCTCAAACACAACTGTCGGCAGTGGCAGAACATGCTTGTCAACAAGGACACTCAATTGATTTTGATAACTCATAATAAAGGTTTTTGGGTTAGATCGCGTTTATTTATAAATGTGTCGTAACCCTCCACCACCCGACACGGCCAATCAGCAAAGAAAAGTGTCACGTTGACAAAAGACAAATAATTCACCAGAATGGCGAATTGCCCGATGATGCTGGAAGTATTTACCAGCGAAACGTCGTACTCAAACTGTAAATGTGGATTAACTCTTCAACACACCGGTGGGCTGAAGTAGTGAATTATTTGTCTTTTGTCAACGTGACACTTTTCTTTGCTGATTGGCCGTGTCGGGTGGTGGAGGGTTACGACACATTTATAAATAAACGCGATCTAACCCAAAAACCTTTATTATGAATAATATTGGTCGCGAAAGCCTACGTGTTAAACTGATTTTGATAACGTTGAAGTGTTGTGTAAAACTAATTATTACTGGCAAAGACTAATTAGAGAATCCATTGAAATTGAGAGGAATAGAAATAACTTGAATCGCTCTGACAGCTACAGGCTTAGTGCGGCTTGGAAGCGTATTATTAAATAATACATTTTACAATTCTTTATAGGGGAAACACATACTAATTAACGGATTACTAACGTAGCATATAATCACAACAACACACATTACAACTAACTACTAATCTACAACTCATTACTAATCATAACCATTAACTGATTACCAATCGATTATATAATTACAATAACCCCCCCCCTCCGCCTCAAATCACTGCACCTGAAATTAGTTAAATTATGATGTCACCCTGATGCTGCTCTATTTAAGACCGGGAGCAAGCGAGGGCTTTACCATTCTGGAGAATTGCCCGATGATGCTGGATGTAATTACCAGCGAAACTTCACAGTACAACTCAAACTGTAAATGTTGTGGATTCACTCTTCAACACACCGGTGGGGCTAAAGTAGTGAACTATTTTTGTCTTTTGTCAACGTGACACTTTTTTTGCTGATTGGCCGTGTCGGGTGGTGGAGGGTTACGACACATTTATAAATAACGCGATCTAACCCAAACACCTTCATTATGAATAATATTGGTCGTGAAAGCCTACGTGTTAAACTTGTTAATGTTTGTCCTTCAAGCCACTACTTTTGCTCGTACCTCTGACCCATTCTGTTCCGTTGCTGCTGCTGCTGCCCGTTCGTGATGCGTAGTCAGCGACAGGAACTGCTCGTTGCCTCCAAACGTGCGGCCTCTATCGTGACAGCGTTCAGCATAAACCGCTCTTGCTGCCGTCCCAGTAACCGGTGTCTCGAGTGACTTGTTTGATCCATTTGTGCGTACGTATGTTGAACTTGCGGAATGTTTGTGAAGTGCGGAATGTTCGTAAGTACGGAGCGTTGGTGAGTGCGGAACGTCCGTGAGTGTCATGTTCATAAGTGTGGAATGTCCATAAGTGCGGTCTGTTCGTAAGTGAGCAAAATTCGTGTGTTAGGAATGCTCGTAACTGCGGAGCGTTCATGAGGAACGTTCGTGAGTGCGGAATGTTCATAGGTGAGGACCGTTCGTAAGTGAGGAGTAAGTACGGATTTGCTCTCCAACACCACCGGTGTAGTGCTGTACTAGTATACTACACTATACACTACACTATACGCTAGTGCTGTGCTAGTATACTACACTATACACTACACTATACACTCGTGCTGTACTAGTATACTACACTATACGCTAGTGCTGTGCTAGTATACTACACTATACACTACACTATACACTCGTGCTGTACTAGTATACTACACTATACACTACACTATACGCTAGTGCTGTGCTAGTATACTATACACTACACTATACACTCGTGCTGTACTAGTATACTACACTATACACTACACTATACACTAGTGCTGTACTAGTATACTAAACTATACACTCGTGCTGTACTAGTATACTACACTATACACTTCACTATACACTAGTGCTGTACTAGTATACTACACTATACACTACACTATACACTCGTGCTGCACTAGTATACTACACTATACACTAGTGCTGTACTAGTACACTACACTATACACTACACTATACACTACACTATGCACTAGTGCTGTACTAGTATACTACACTATACACTCGTGCTGTGCTAGTATACTACACTATACACTAGTGCTGTACTAGTACACTGCACTATACACGACACTATACACTTGTGCTGTGCTAGTATACTACACTATACACTACACTATACACTAGTGCTGTACTAGTATACTACACTAGACACTACACTATACACTAGTGCTGTACTAGTATACTACACTATACACTACACTATACACTCGTCCTGTGCTAGTGTAGAGGTGTTAACTACTCACTGTTCCGGAACCTGCATTGCCACTAGGTACCAAAGGGGCAGTGCAGCGTTACCTCTGTGTACATAACGGTTGGGGTCAGACGAGGTGAAGTGGATCGTAGCCACAGTTTGGTAAGAACCAATCAGACAGTTCCACGTGGGAATGTGTGATTGGTTACACCTGGCCACAAACGGGTATAAGAAGGGTGACCGTGCAGAGCACGAGGAGTTCTCTCCCTACACGAAGACCGAAGCCCGGGCTGAAGATAGCCAGGACCCTGGACCCAGCCTTCCAGCCCTTCTGAGGGCTAAGGCTCGGCACATCCAGTGGTCAAGACCCACCGGGCCAGCAGTGGGTCAGATGGCCTCCCCTAGGTCCCAGCCGGAGGACTCTAGGATAGCGGTAGACGTGTGAGTAAGTCCCGCTAAGACAGGAGGCTGTACCTCCTTAGGTTAGCAAGAGACCTGTGTGTAGGTCACGCTAAGTCCGGAGGCTGTACCTTCTTAGGTATCAAGAGATCTGTGTGTAGGTCACGCTAAGTCCAGAGGCTGTACCTTCTTAGGCATCAAGGAGACCTGTGTGTAGGTCACGCTAAGTCCGGAGGCTGTACCTCCTTAGGTTAGGAAGGGACCTGTGTGTAGGTCACGCTAAGTCCGGAGGCTGAAACCTTCCTCGGGTATCGGGTGGGGGGACCGTATACCCCTCCGTGTGTTAAGGACTGTGTGAGAGAAGAATCACAATAAACAGAGTGTGTGTCATAAGAATTTTATTCGTCTTCATAAACACTACAACTGGAGTCAGAAGTGGTTGAAAATTCAGCCCACGTGCGAAGTCAGAATGAAGGAAACCCTGACTCAACCTGCGGGAACCGCCAACTCCGCTGAAAATGCCGGCACGTTGCCAGCCGCCCAACCACCGGCTCAGCAGCCGGTCACTCCTCCTGCCATGGGGGACGGACTCCGGGCAGCACACAGCCGTCTCGCCCAACTTCTACATGCCGCGGCCTCCATTCTCGACGAGATCAACTCGGAGGTCGCGGGCGGATCGAATCAGCCGCCGCCGGATGTTCCCGCCGTCGGCCAAGACGAACATTTTGATGTTCCCGCCGAGGAACCACGTGGTCCCGCCGGAAGCTGAAGCCAAGGGCATTCTGGGAATGATGGGGGGCCAATCACACCCCGATTTCCGGTTCGAGACTGTGCAGGCTGAGGAGGAAACGACGTCCGCCCTCCAACAGCGCCTGCCCATCTTTCGTGAATTCGCGTCTGAAGGGGGCGACTGGGCGGCATTCCAGCGGCGCTTCCTGAGCCAAGAAATGGTGTGCTGTCTACATCATTAGACCTCCTTTGCCAGTACCAAAATGTAATAATAGGGTTTTTCCCCTTTTTTCTGGCAACAAAACAATTGGGTCGAGGCTCAAAAGAAAGCCGTCTCTTGGTGTGGACCAATCAGTTTCAAGGACAATGCATCATATTATCATAGTAATGTTTTTTGTTTGCATTTTGACTGCAGGTATTGTGGTTAATGCAGTAACACAAATCCTCATAAAAAGGTTACAGTTTTGTTGCCAGAAAAAAGGGGAAAACCCCTATTATTAAATGGTAGGTTGGTCGGACGCATAGGCGCTCCGAGCGCTACCGGCCACTCAGGACGATGACGCTCTCGCCTCGCTCCTCACCATCCCCAGGCAACAAAGGGCGACTCTACAATCGGCCCTCCGACGGATGTCCGACGTCAACGGGCCTCCGTCCGACGTCCGCAGCCGGTTTTACGATAGGCGACACCGCCCTAAAGAGTCTCCGTTGGCATTCCGGACCGCCCTACTCGCAATGGCAAGAGCGGGCTACCCCCGCATGGACAACGAAGCCATTGACGCTATCGTCCTCCAGAAGATGATGGAGCTGGCACGCGAGCTGCGCATCGTCATTCAAGCGGTGGACGACGACGGTATGTGCTCGCTACGAGCCGCTCGGAGCATCCACGCGCATCTGCTGCTCCACACGGATTCGACCATCGCCGCCTCGGCTTCAACGTCGGAGCCTGCCAGCAGGGGCGACGGATTCTCCCCCGACCGGGCCTTCATGGCGACCAGGGGAGCGGGCCTGCGATCGTCCGACCACGCTGGTCGCCGCGACGACCATCAGCGGGGACGGCCTCCACGCGGCGACGTGACGTGTTTCAACTGTGGCCGATGATGCCACATCTCCTCCGAGTGCCGTGCGCCTCGACGACGCCCCTCCGGATCCCAGGGCCAGGACTACAGGACGCCCACCGCATCACGGCACAGTCAGGCAAGTCGCGACGCCTCTCACGCTCGGCCCTCATTCACACCATACACACTGCAACGCACCATAAGAAGGGCTATCGATTCGGCGTGTGATGCGCGGTGTTCCGGCGATTCTTCACGGCCACTCGGACCTGGGCAGTGGTCTGAGTTGGCCCATAGGTTAGTCGCGGCGACAGCAGGTTCCTCCGTGGTTGTCGGATCGATCGAGGGTGTGGAATTCCGTGTGTTGGTTGATACTGGTGCATCGGCTATGATCATTTCGGATTTGATTTATAATATACTGCCCGTACAATGCCGCCCATTGGAACGTGTTTCTATCCCTATCGCTAATGGAAGTTCGCTGGGCATTTTTGGGCAAATTCGTGCGCAAATTTCCATTGGTGACATTTAATTGGCGGGGCCTATTTTGGTCTCTTCCTCCCTCGCCGTGCCGTGTTTGTTAGGCACTGACTTTCTCGCGAAAATGCCCATTAAGATCCTTGTAGATCAAGGCTGCATCGAACTCCCGTCGGGTCGACGGATGACGTTCTTGCCCACGCCCTCACATCCGCGCACGCCAAATGCCTCTGTGCAGGCGTTCGTCACCAGCACAGTCCGCATTCTGCCAGGGACACAAATGCTCGTGCCCTTGCGATTAAAGAAACCGCTAGCCCCGGACGCCTCGGCACATGGCATTTTGCTGGGACCTTCAAACGCAGCTGCTAAGGGGTTAGATTTGGTGGCTGCACAGACCCTCGTAGCAGCTGACAGGGAGCCGTTCTTGCAGGTTTTGAATGTCGGATTGTCCACAACCGTCATTCCGCAAGGAACTGTGCTCGCTCACGCGACGTCGTCGCCTCTGGGGACCGAAGTCGTGGGACACGTGCGTGACACGCCGCAGGTCCCACCTTCCGAATCAGATGAGGGATGGTTGGACGCGCTCTGCGCAGACACGGGTGTTCTGTCTGGTTCGCAGCGAATTAAATTGGGCGCTCTTCTGCGAGAATTTTCTGATATATTCAGTAAATCTAAATTTTATATTGGCTGCACCAAGCTGCTGCGTCACCACATTGATACTGGTGGCGCTGCCCATATTCGACAAAACCCGTTTCGGCTTAGCCTGGCGGAGAAGCAGCATGTTAAATCGACCGTGGATGACATGCTGGAGGCCGATATCATTTCTCCTTCCACTAGTCCCTGGGGTGCTCCGATAGTGCTGGTCAAAAAGCACGATGGCAGTCTTCGTTTTTGCGTTGATTTTCGGCGCCTAAATAAAATCTCGGTGGCGGACGCCTACCCTCTCCCTCGTATGGACGAGTCATTGGATGCCCTGGCAGGCGCGCACTATTTCTCCACTTTGGACCTTCTGTCGGGGTTTTGGCAACTCCCCCTCGACGAAGCGTCAAAACCTAAGACTGCTTTTCAGACACCACAGGGCCTTTTTGAGTTTAATAGATTGCCCATGGGTCTCCACTCGGCCCCAGCGACGTTCCAGAGGCTCATGGAGCTGGTCCTCGCTGGGCTCCAGTGGGACTCATGTCTCATTTATCTTGACGACGTCGTCGTCTTTAGCCGCACGTTCGGCGAACACATCGAGCGATTGCGTGCTGTCTTCTTGAAAATGCGGGCCGCTAACTTAAAATTCAAGCCGCAGAAGTGTCACCTTCTGCTTGAGTCTGTGCGCTATCTGGGCCACATAGTCAGCCGCTCGGGAATTTCTACCGACCCTGATAAAACCGAATGCGTTTGCCAATGGCCGACCCCTACATCAGCGGGCGATGATCGCAGTTTTATTGGTTTTGCTTCATATTACCGCCGTTTTGTTGCTGGCTTCGCGACGATTGCCAAACCGCTTCATGACCTTACGTCCAAAGGGGTGATGTTTCATTGGAGGGACGCGGAACAGGCTGCATTCGACTCCTTGCGGAATGCACTCGTAACGGCACCGTCCCTTGCATACCCTGATTTTTCCGTGCCATTCGTGTTGGACACCGACGCTAGCAATACGGGGATTGGGGGTGTTCTGTCTCAAAAGGCTGATGGCATTGAAAGGGTCGTTGTCTATGGTAGCAGAGTCTTGTCTCCTGCTGAACAAAGATACTGCGTTATCCGACGTGAGCTGCTGGCCATTGTTTTTTTCATTCAGCAATACAGGCCGTACCTGTATGGTCAGCATTTTACCGTGCGATCTGATAATTCGGCATTACAGTACGCTCTGCGGGTTGACCAACCATCCGGCCAGCTTTCTCGGTGGCTCGAAGCCCTTCGGGACTACGATTTCAATGTCACTTACCGTGAGGGTGCACAACACACGAATGCCGATGCGTTGTCTCGCCTCCCGCCGGCTCAAAAATGTGCGTGCTTTTTTTTGGGCTCTGGCCGTCGTTAGCCGCCGCTGCCTGCGCAGGGCGCGCCTCTCGAAACGGTGTCGGCCGCACTTCCCGTCGCCTCGGCGCCGATGTCGGATCATGCGGATCCAACGGCCAGTGACGACTTGCTGGGGCTGACTTTGGCCGTATGGGGTCGGCACCAGAGCGATGACGTGTCGTTACTGAGGTTGTGTCGCCACGCGAATAAGGTGGCTCCGCGTCAAGGGAAATTCAATTCACTTGTTACGAAGCGCGGCTTGCCGATGCATTGGGATGCTGACTCGTGTCAACATAAAATCGTCGTGCCCTCCGCCTTGCGATGCAAAGCCGTATGGGCAGCGCACGAGCGGTTATTACACCTGGGTGTCCATAAGACCATTGGGTTGTTGCGGTTTGCAATTTTTCTGGCCGGGCATGCTGCGCGATGTAACCGACATTCTGCTGTGGTGCACCCATTGCGCGCAACGTAAACCGCCGGCTAAAACCGCATGCCCGCCCCTGCAACCCATTTCGGTGTCTCATAAACGAGTTGGTGGCTCATTAGATCTCCTTTGCCAGTACCAAAATGTAATAATAGGGTTATTACATTTTGGTACTGGCAAAGGAGGTCTAATGATGTAGATGCTCACCCCGAGCCCTCATTACTTTGATAGTGCATTGTCTTTGAGCTGTGTGACGCCTTTTGGCGTCATCTGGTCGAGCACCAATTGGGTCGAGGCTCAAAGAGAAAGCCGTCCCTTGGTGTGGACCTATCAGTTTCAAGGACAATGCATATATTATCATTGTGTGTGTTTTTTGTTTGCATTTTGACTGCAGATATTGTGGTTAATGCAGACATGAATCTTTGTAAAAAGGTTTCAGTTTTGTTGCCAGAAAAAAGGGGAAAAACCCTATTATTACGAGTTGGTGGCTCTCGATATTTTGGGTCCTTTTCCTACTACGCCACGGGGTAATTAGTACCTTCTGGTTGGGGTAGAGTATTTTACACGGTGGCCTATGGCCTGGGCCCTCCCCAACCAGTCGGCAACGGCCGTCGTGGACGCCTTAGTTCAGGGCTACGTCCTGGACAAGGGCGCACCAGAACGATTGCTGACCGATCAGGGAAGAAATTTTTCAGGAGTCCTGCTGAACGATGCGTGCCGCCTGTTGGGCACAAAGGAAGTGCGCACTTCGCCCTACCATGCCCAGACCGACGGCATGGTGGAGCGCCTTCATAGGACTCTCACCGCTATGTTATGCCATCAGGTCGATGAATCCCACCTCGATTGGGACTTGCAGGTTCCGGGGGTCCTCGCCGTGTACCGCATGGCACCTCACGCGGCGACGGGATTTTCCCCGTTCTTTTTAACGTACGGCAGGGATGTCTTTCCTCCTGCCGACGTTCGGCTGGAGATAGAACAGCCACCGCAGAAGTCCAAGCCCGTTGACCACTTGCGATTCAACCTCCGTAAGTTGGCCGAGGCACGGGAGGCTGCCATTGAAATTTCGGCTTCCCGCCAGCGAGCGAATTTGAGACTGCGTGATCCTCGGACGTCCACGCATCGGTGGGCACCGGGAGACAGCGCGTGGCTTCACTGCCCCCAGGTGCCGGTGTCCACGTCGGCAAAACTCCTCAAGGCCATGGCGGGGTCCGGTGGAGGTGGTTGAGGTCCTGCGTCCCCAATGTATTAAAATTCGCTGGGGACGGCGTCGCTGGTTCGTTCAGCCCTCTCGGTTGAAACCCTTCGTCACGCCGCGCGTCCCTCCACAACACACGCAACACGGGGGCCGAGTGTGCGACGCGTCCGACGAGCCAGATGTTGCCCCGTTGGTGCCTAATCGACAGCGCAGGCGTGTCATTCCTCCCGCAGATGACACGGGAGTGACAGCTCCGTGCAGGCCACGTTCGGCCTCGATGGACCATGGATCGTCAGGTGTCCCCGTGGAGGTGCCTCAATACCCACCTCATGACCCACCTGACGCTCTTGTTCATCCTCCTGCCCCTCCTGTGCCGCCGACGAAGCCTACCCTCCCCTACGATGACCCCGCGAAACACACGCGCGCTAAATCTCGCCGGTTTTTATGATGCTTCCCTTCCTTGCTGACACGTTCCCGGTTCCTAATCGGTTTTGCTACACAAGCCGCCTGCTCTATCGCGTTGTGTGTATGGTCGGTGTCATGACCGATTGCCTTGTACATACGTTGTTGTGTTAGGGGGGTATTTATATGGGGTTTTTTTTTTCTTTTCCTGTTCTTGTTCTTGTTGTTCGCGAGGCACACTCACATTTCTTCTATCGTTGATGATTTTCGGAGTTTCACATTGTTGCTGCCGGGACGGCTGGAGCTTCCGAAGTAGGGGGT